TATATATATATGACTAATACAACAGCCAATCTTTACAGTATATGCTATAACTGATAACCAATATGATTGCCAGTATTAATTTTGTTATTATAACATAACATAATACCCATTTATATTGTACAAAAAGAAAAAATTATAAATGGGTCTAAAATATTATTGGAAAAGTATTTATTTTCTATTAATTTGACACTGTTAAATAGAATAAAAAAGTGATAAATTATGTCAGATGCAGTACATTTAATGTTAGTAAAGGCTTCTTAAACAAAAAAAACTTAATAAAGATGACCGCATGGCCATTTCTACCATCTCTCTGAACCTTAGAATTAAACAGAAGCCAACTTGCTATATTTCAGACATCTAAATATAAATTGGTGCAGGTTATGCACCAAAGTTTAATTGAATATTATAATGGTTTTGCACAGCTTAGCAGGCACCACTAATAAGAAAAAAAGCACTTTCATTAGTACAGCAGGGGGTCAGCAGTCTGTCCAGCCTAACTCATCTCTGGGTCTTCAGTCAAACCTGAACATTCACACACGCCCTCATTCACTCTCTACTGCCTACTAAATCACAGGGTCTAGCGGGATGAAAGCCCCTTCGGCTGCCCCTCGGCCTTGCTTTCAATGTGACTATAAGGAGACACAGTTCCTCTTGAAGACCTCCAGCTGTTCAGAGAGACAGCCTCTGTGTGCTGCTCCTCTCCATTCAGTCAATTACATCTAACAATCAGCCCAACAGAGGAGCATGCCATCATAATCCAGTAGAAGGATCCCAATATAACGGCTCATGGGCATGAATACAGCTAAACAAGTTTAATAAAGGGCTGTGTAAACTGAAAGAAAGGACATTGTGTTAACCACTGTACTGAGCTCTGCATGAATCTATGCAATGATCTATATTAAGGATAAACCGATATAGCAACACTGACTGATACAATAGCTAATATTTATATACTTTTCTGCCTCTTTTCCAAAAAAAATTAAAAAATTTAGATTAAACAATATAATATATATAAACTATAATATAATATAATACCATTATAGCCTGTCAACAGGCTGTGCTATACCGTGAATATAGTCATTGACAATAATGATAACATAATATAAATTAAAATATATATATTTCATCAGATTACACAATATTTCAGAAGGACTGTCAAAGCAGAAATATATTGTTTGACGAACTGAATGGTGTAATTACAACATCCACCAGAAGACTCATGGTGTGGACCCCTGTTCTATACTCATTTGTTCCTATATGACTTCCTGTATTATAAGATTATTTCCTTTCTTTTCATTCTACTGAAATGAGAATAAAGTTCTTCCTCAAGCAGGAATTTAATTCAGATGGCAATCACCCAAAAAGACAGTGAAAAGGAACTGATCCATGGCTATGGATTTATGAAACCATCGTTCT